ACGTAAATTCAGAGCAGTTGAAAAATATTATTCTAATTCTATATATGTACATGTGTTATAATCAAAAGAATTTGTGGGTTTTTGGTAATTTCACCCACAATTTTTTTTTTATTGTTAATTAGTATTATATTTATATTCTTGCACACATTTAACCTAAATATTATAACAATTTATGAATATTTCAAAAAGTAATATGAAAAAGTCTTGTCAACGTAATTCTTTTGCTTAAGATACAAAATGATATCTTGATATGAAAACAATCATGAAGATAAAATGTAATACCCGTACATCACAAGGATATCAAATGATAGTATTATGGACCTTACAAGGTCCATACACTACAAGAAACATGCTATTTTGAGGCGATTATACTAATATTTTGAGGCGGTTATAACCGTCTTTGATTGCATCGATAGGCGATTCTAGAACTGCCTCAGTTACCACTGTCGAGAGGCTATCTAGGGCAGTTAAAAGAAAGCGCGGGTAGAACCGCTTACGGATAAATAGAGGCGTACATAACGGAGGCTATTAATGCCTCAGTTAGCAGAACAAGAATCTGGTGTGCAATCAAGGGCGGTTTAGTTAACCGCCTCTGTATAACATTTGGAGGCCTTTCTAGTAACTGCCTCATATAATTTTTTCTTAAGCGATTTATAAAATCGCCTCCTTATAAATTTCTGGGTTGTTGAGGTATCTGCCCTTGTTCTTATTTCTAAGGCGGTTTTTCAAACCGCCTCCTAGCAATGGGTTGAATTTAAAGCATTGCATATATAGGCAATTTCGTTGAACCACCTCTGAATTTATATAATATATTTTTTATATAATTATTCTAATTTTGTTAATGTATGTTTACTTATAACCCTCCAAAAGCCAGTGCATTTAATCTGTTTTTTTTTAATTGTTGCACAATTTTAACATCCTTGAATTTAAAGGATTATATATATAAATTCATCACAAGATTAAAAGCGCATAATTACATACATTAACCAAAATCATACAACAAAATGTTTAACAACCATAAAAAATGTCTCAACTGTTATGTCCCACATGATAATGACAAAGAAAGCAAGAACATTATCTAACATCAATGACTACATCAAATATTCAACTCTGTGGTGGTGGAGGTGGAATTTGAGGGGTTGAATCTGGTCCTTCACAATTTGAGTAATGACTTGCATGAGAAGATCTTCTAACCCCTGGAGAACCCAAATCTGCTACCTGATACATTGGGGGGGAAATCACTATAGCAATATTGTAAGATGTAGGACAAATGGTTTTCTGATTTGATATAAGAGTAAATGAGAAAAACAGAAACAAATTCAAATCCTTATTAAAGGAAAAAATAAATCTCTAATTAATAGGATATAAATCAGGGATATGATTGCATCCCAAATAAAAATGAAAAGATTCTGATCTCGATTTTCTACTCTTCCCCTCAAGTTGGGAGGTAAATGTTGATCATTCTCAACTTGCCAATCAGGTCTTCAAAGGCTGGCCGGTGTAGGCCCTTAGTGAGGATATCTGCAATCTGCTCTTTGGTAGGAATATACATCATACATACACTTCCATCATCTATTTTTCTTTGATAAAGTGGCGATCAACCTCCACATGTTTTGTTCTGTCATGGTGAACTGGATTTTGAGCAATACTAACAGCGGCCTTATTATCACAATACACTCTGATAGGTAGGGAAAAAGCGATCTTCAATTCCTCAAGGAGTCTTCTTAACCAAATTCCTTCACAAATACCATGGGCTAGAGCCCGAAATTCTGCTTCTGCACTGCTCCGGGCAACAACTGTTTGTTTCTTACTTCTCCAGATCACAAGAATTCCCCAGATATAGGTGCAATATCCTGAAGTGGATCTTTGGTCCATTGCAGAGCCAGCCCAATCTGCATATGTATATATTTCAATCATCCTCTTGTGTCCCCTTTTAAAGAACAATCCTCGACCAGGGGTGTTTTTAAGGTACTTCAGAATTCTATAAACTGCACTCAAGTGTTTTTCCTTAGGAGAATGCATGAATTGACTAACCATGCTAACTGCAAATGCAATATCATGCCGAGTGTGAGATAAGTAGATCAACTTCCCCACCAATCTCTGATACTGCTCTTTGTCAACTTCTTTCTCATCTTCAATTCCCAATTTAATATTGGGTTCAACTGGAGTCGCTGCTGGCTTGCACCCAAACATTCTTGTTTCTTGTAACAGGTTTAGAATATATTTCATCTGAGTTAAAGAAATTCCTGCCTTACTTCGAGCAACTTCCATACCCGGGAAATATTTGAGAGATCCAAGATCCTTCAATTCAAACTGATTAGCTAAACATTTCTTCAAAGAGCTTATCTCCTCACAATCATTACCTGTGACAATTATGTCATCAATATAAACAATGAGAATAGTAATTTTACCACCATTAGAGTGTTTTAAAAATAAAGTGTGATCAGTCTGAGCTTGGAGGAATCCTCTTCCCTTAACAGCTTGAGTAAACTTCTCAAACCACTCTCTAGGGGATTGTTTAAGACCATAGAGAGACTTCTTCAACTTGCATACTGATCCGTCTCCTTTTTCAAAACTAGGTGGTGGATCCATATAAACTTCTTCATATAGATCACCATTCAAGAAGGCATTCTTTACATCTAATTGTTGCAAGGGCCAACCAAGATTTGCAGCAAGTGATAAAAGAACTCGGATAGTGTTAAGCTTGGCAACAGGAGCAAATGTCTCCAGATAGTCTATCCCATGAGTCTGAGTGAATCCCTTAGCAACCGGTCTGGCCTTATACTTGTTGATGCTGTTATCTGCATTGAACTTTATTGTGAACACTCACTTGCAACCTACTGTTTTCTTTCCTCTGGGTAATGCTACAGACTCCCAAGTTCCATTTTTGTTGAGCGCATCCATTTCTTCAAAGACTGCATTCCTTCATTTTGGATCATCAAGTGCTTCTTGGATATTTTTTGGTATTTTTGTACTGTCTAACATAGTGTTGAAAGCATGAAAACCTGGGGACAACTTTTCATATGTGATATGATGAGAAATAGGATGAGCAGTACAAGATCTAGTACTTTTTCGGAGAGCAATAGGCACATCTAGGTCGACTGTATCAGTGTTGCTGGAACTAAGACTCGAGTCAGAATCCTGACAGTCTATAGGCTCCTGAGGTAATTCTCGCTTGCTGTAAAACTTTTCCCATTTACCGGGAAGATCTCCATTATCTGACACATTAACTCCCCCGTCTTTTGCATAATGACTCCCCATGTCTCCAACGGCAAAGGAAAAACATTAGAATCATTTGATTTTCAAGACTTATCTTCATCAAACCCAATAGACTCCCCTTGAAGATAAGTCGAAGAAAAAAAAGATTGTCTCTCATCAAATGTGACATCCATAGAAACAAATACCTTACGAAGAGAAGATGAGTAACACTTGTAGCCCTTTTGGTTAAGAGGATATCCTGTGAAGACACATTTAATGGACTTAGGATCAAGCTTGGACCTTTGATGGGGAGGAACATGTACAAAAGCCACACAGCCAAACAACTTGGGAGGAAGGGAAGAGTGAGCCCGGAAAGAAGGAAAGGTGTGGGTAAGACAAGATAAAGGAGATTGAAAATTTAGGACACGAGAAGGCATCCGATTGATGAGGTATGCTGCAGTCAAGACAGCTTCCCCCCACAGATATTTAGGGACATGCATGGTAAACATAAGAGCTCGAGCAACTTCAAGGAGATGTCTATTTTTTCTTTCAGCCACCCCATTTTGTTGAGGGGTGTTAGGACAAGAACTTCGATGAAGAATACCATGCTGGATGAGATAGTTTCCAAGAAAAGAATTAAAATATTCAGTACCATTGTCAGTTCGAAGAATTTGGATAGAGGTTTGGAACTGAGTTTGAACCATAGCCTGAAAGTTTTTAAAAGTAGCTGCAGCGTTAGACTTATCCTTTAGAAGGTATACCCAACATACCCTAGAGTGATCATCTATGAAAGTTATAAACCAACGAGCACCAAAGATATTTTTTTCACGGGCTGGACCCCATATATCACTATGAATCAAGGTAAATGGAGAAGAATCATGATGGACTCTAGGAGGATAAGAAACACGAGAATGTTTTGCAAGCTGACAAAAATATCACAAGAAAAAGAACTGGGATTTTTACTGATAAATAAATTTGGGAACAACTTCTGAAGATAAATGAAATTTGGGTGTCCTAACCGACGATGCCACAACAAAACATCATTACAATTGACACGAGCTGTCGAACTCATGCAAATTAAAAAAAAAAATTTATTAGGGTTCAGAAAATTTGTAGTAGAGTGGAAACCCTAAGTCATCTCTCTCAAGGAAATCGCTTGGGTAAAAATCGTTTATCAAAACAGAAATTAAAAGGGGGGGTTTTTGAATTTTGGTTGAATAATTTAAAAGGCAGAATATGAAATTGGATTTAAAATTCGTAATTAAAAATAACCAACCTAAGGTTTGGGTTCCATGGACGTCTTTCCTCGGATAAGAAGATATCAGAATCGTGATTGATTTGTCAATCGAATCAGAATCCTTATTTCCAATTGACAACCATCTCTAAGCGATCGCTTAGCATTTGATCAAAGACGATGCTTCTACTCATACAATCGCAGAGTATCAGCCCGCTTGATTTAAGGTCATAGGGTCAATCAACCTAATCATCAAATCTGATGATTAATCCCTTTCCATAATCGCAATCGCGAACCTCAGATTGAATATCCACGATCGCACGATATCAATCTGAGTTTGGAAGGGAAACGAAACTGATTTGAAATAAACGCAGACCCTCAAGACTAATCCATGGAATCCATTACCCTTAGGTTGATTAAAAGGTTCTTAGCCTCGCATAGCTAAGGTAAACATAATTAAAATAAAAAGAAGAAGAAGAAAAAGATGAAGAACGCGAAGAACGCTTCAGAGAAAATACTTTGATCCTCAATTTCGAAAATTACAGAATGAAAACAATGTTTCCTACTCTGCCTTCATATACCCCTACCCAAAGCGGGTTAGGGTTCAGTTCTGACCGGCCCATATGTCTAAAATACGAAATAAAATAAATAAAATAAAATAAAACTTCAGCAAAACGTGTCCGACTTGGCGCAAGAAATCTACTAGCTTACAATCCGAACTGGGCTTCAAGCTCTTCATAAGAATTGTAGCCCTTTGTGTTATCTGAAAAACCCAACAAGAACAGAGTCAATCCGACAACTGTGGACTAAGATATGGCCAAAATACAGAAGTAACGTAAAGCTGAAAAATTCTGACGAAAAAAAATTAAACCCAATCAAAAACTAAAAATGTAAATTAACTCAAAACATCATTATTTTATTCAAATAAATCCTAAAAATACTAATCAAGAGTAACAAATAAGTGTAATAAAATATGAGTTATCAACAATCATCATATAAACATACCGAGTGGTTAACAAAAAAAATTTCTTCACAAGAATCTTTTTCAAAATCATAGAGTCTTTCTTCCTCCCTAGCACTACCAATCATCATCCCTGAGTCTTGTTCCTGGAAAACACAAGCATTGACAGAAAAATTGGCAACACAATGTAACTCAGAGGTAAGTTTGCTGATAGAGATAAGGTTACAAGTAAGAGAGGGAACATAAAGGACTGAGTTCAAAGTAATTTTTTCATAAAGTTTAATGGATCATTTTCCAGCAATAGTAAAGAAGTTGTCATCTGCTGTTCTTATTCGTGACTGTTGATAGTAAGGGGTATAAGAATAAAATAAGGCTGCATTATCTGTCATATGATCTGAAGCCCCTGAATCAAGAATCCAACGACTACTATTATCAACATGGAACGTCGTACCTTGTTGAGCAACATTGCTGGATGGAAATTTGCTTTCAATCAAATTTGAAGCTAATGTATCCAATTTGAACACAGAGGAAGCTAAGGCATGAGACATGATACTCTCTGAGTCATCCAAGGCAGCAAACTTGGAGTTTGATACAGAAACAACAGCATAAGTGGAAATGTTTCGCGCCCAACAGTAGCAACAGTCACTCTCTAAGTTGTTTTTTCTTGGATAGCCATAGTCCGAAATAAAAAGGTCTCCAATCACTGATTTGAGCCTTCAAATAGATAGGAAAGAGGGAGACAAGCTGAAAGAGACCTCTCCGAATCGGAACAGAGCACTGCAGGGAGGCGCGTGGCTTGCACACACTGTATGGTGGCTGCGCGTAAGGCGGATGCTCCGTCCTTTCTCTAGCGCGTGGCTCAGCAGAATCCGATGGTCCTTCTTGGAACTTGTAGATCGGCTCCTTCTATTTTCGAATGGTGCGGGTCTTGGCCGGAAATGTCGCCGAAAAAAAAATTCCGGCAGCTGCTGACGGTGGTTTACGGCGGTGGAATGCTGGGATTCTGCCTTCTACAGTGATTGGTAGCCTTACTTTGCTCTTGGGACTTTGTAGGAAGGGAAAACAACCTTAATAATGGTTGGAGGTTGCGTTTTCCGGCGTTGTGTCGCCAGTTTGATGGTGGTTGTGGTTGCTGAGTTTTCTCAGGACCAACCTGCTCATGATACCATATTGTAAGATGTAAGACAAAAGATTTTCTGATTTGATACAATTTGATTTACATTGAAAATGTATATTTATACAAAAGTAAATGAGAAAAACGGAAACAAATTCAAATCCCAATTAAAGGAAAAAATAAATCTCTAATTAATAGGCTATAAATCAGGGATATGATTGCATCCCAAATAAAAACGGAAAGATTCTAATCCTGATTTTCTAGAAGCTATCCATGATAAACCTAATATATGTGTCAATGAATTTAACAAAGTAACAATAAAGAAAACTACCAAGAAGAACAATAATTTGCTCCGTATAAGCATTTCACATGAAACAAAAAACAAAAGCTTAGTACATCAACAAGGGAAAAAATACATATAGGGTACATAAAGAAGATTATATGATAATGTTTCTAGTAATCTCGATCTCTTCTAATTTAGACATACATGACTACTACTATCCCTTACTGCATCTCACTAAATCGTGAGGATTTAAGCTAGGAGGCTCCTTCCCTAGGCAATTTATTTCAACCTCTCAATTTCACAACCGTAACAGTTACACAAAACAAAGTATTTATAATTACTAAGAATTTGCTTGGCTTGCAACTACTCTAACGCTCTCCCTAATAAATAAAACGATTCTTTACCAAAAAAAAAAAACAACGTTTATTAGTTACCTAATAAGAACGTATATTTCAATTTCTGTCGTATGTGTAAATATTATGTTTTGAAAACATAAAACTACCAATAAAGGGTAGCTCAACATTCTAAGAGGCCTAGTTTGATCATCACTATATTCCTTCTGTACAACAAGAGTTATCCTATTCTTCTATAGATGATCCTCTGTATGTGTAAAGAATCAATTCAACCCAAAAGCTTAAGCTGTTGAGTGAGGCTACATTAATGGTTTTATATATCTCAACATGTCCCTCACACGAGAGCCCACTGGGCTTGAAAGGTGGATAATGCACAGGCCCACCTACCTGTGCGATCAAAGAAATTCCACTTGGAAGAAAGTGGAGTTCAGTTGGGTGAAGCTACATTAATGGTTTTATATATCTCAACAATATGCATGTAAATGTCTGTGCTTTTCATTGTGTAGCCCTAGTGTTTGGTTTAACATAGTAGTCCTTATACAGCTGAATCGGGAACACTATGTATTAACTTACTCTGTTTTGATTTTAAAATATCCTAACGTTGAGATAAAAAAAGGAAAAGTCAAAATCTCAAGTTAGTTATGGGTTAGGCGCGTCAAGCTACGCGCGCGATTTTATTCGCTCTGTTAGGGTTTTTGCTGTTCGTTCCTGTTCAAGCTCTTCAATGGAGTTAGAGGGTGAGAAGGTTGATAACACGCTGTCTATGGAAAGGAAAAGCACGAAGAGAACAAAGAGTGGGGAAGAGATCCCTACGGAGACTCGTTTGAGAGAGGCTGTGAAAGACTACCAAGCTGGTTCTACTGGCATGGTGAAACACAGGTCTTTCGCGGAAGTAACAGGGGAGGAGCATGGGGTTGCTGGCGATTCGCTTCCCTGGATGGCTGAAGATGATGAACTCGAGCTGGAACCATTAGACCCTAGTTTAGGGGTGATTTCTGAATGGGGTTTCCAGACGATCTTCAGAGAAGATGGAACCGTTGAGATAAGAAGTAACAGGGAGGCCAGAGCTAGGATGTGCCAGAGATGGAAGAATGCTCTCATCGTCAAGCTCCTGGGCAAGAAGGTGGGGGTGGGCTTCATGAAGAGGAAGCTCGATCTGCTCTGGGCCAAGGCAGGAAGCATCACAGTGGCTGATCTAGGTAATGAGTTCTTTTCAGTTCGATTCAGTAGTTTGGAGGATCTTAACATGGCCATTACTGGTGGGCCATGGATTATATTAGGGCACTACTTGGCTATGCGGAAGTGGGAGCCCAGATTTGACCTGGAGAAAGCCAACATTCATAAGGTGGCTGCCTGGGTTAGATTACCTGGTGTTCCCCAGGAATACTGTGAATTTCCATTCCTCAATCAACTGGGAGCAGTGATTGGGAAGGTAATCAAGGTGGACAAAACCACTTCTACGGGCGACAGGGTGAGGTTTGCACGAGTTTGCATTGAGGTGGATCTCTCTATGCCTCTGCGTGAGGAATATATCCTTGATGGGAGTAGAATGAAGGTAGAATATGAAGGTTTGTTCCTGATTTATTTGAAATGTGGAAGGTATGGGCATAATTCTAGTGTGTGTCCTGAATTTGTTAAGCCTGCTACTCCAACCACAACTGTTAGGGATCCTGACCAGCCTATGGAGAAATCTTGCGCACCAGGAGTTGGAGACTGGATGATTGTCCAGCGCAAGAAGAATACAAACCAGAATTTTCATAAGAATAATTCTTCCACAATAGAAAATTTGGTGTTTACATCTCTAACAAGAGGAGTACTATGGGCTTTGGGGCTTCTGCCAGCAGTGGCCCAAAGGGTCAGGAGGGTGCTCAGGGTAAAATTCCAGTAGCTACTTCTCCTGTATTGAAAGAGCTTAAGGAGAATGAGGTCTCCTTGGAGAAGCCTCAGGCTTCTGGTGGAGGAATGGAGTTCAATGCAGCAGCCTCCTCTCAGGTCAAGAAGGCAGCTGGTATTAAGACCAGCTTACCTGGTAATAAAAAGACAGGTCCAAAGGGTCCTAGTGTAAAAGGCAAGGGGCCAGTTTTTAAGACTAAGACCATTTCTGTGAACAGAGGTGGAGGTGATACGTGCAAGGCCAACCTGAATGATCTTCAACCGAATGCTCAATTTAATGGGAAGCTGTGGAGTGACTTGGTGATGGAGGATGATAGCTTCTGGTCTGATGGCAAGGTCAGTCAGTCCTGTAAGGAGCCTCCAATGGGTTGTGGTGTCCCATGTTCAGAAGCTGAACCTCCTGATTCTAGTATGTGCTTTAGGCAATCAGGAGTTGAAGGTCAATCAGGTATGGAAGTTGAAAACTCTAATTGCAATGCTTTAGGCAATTCTATGCATAAGGAGATTGGAGGTAGTTGTGATAAGGAGATGCTAGATCTAAGTGATCAATTGGCAGTTAGTAGAGTGCAAAGTTGCAAGAGCTTAGTAGTCTTGCATTCTCATTCGAATTCATATTGATTGTTTTGGTATCTCGTCTGTTTTTTTTTTCTGTATAATTTTGATGATGAACAATAATATTTGTGCTTGGAATTGTAGAGGAGTTGGGAAGAAATCTTTTCTTGCCCTTATTAGAGATCTTAAATTTAGGTTCAAAATAAAAGTGATGGCCCTATTGGAAACCAGATTACATGGTGACAGGGGGGAAGCTGTTTGCAGGAAGCTGGGTTTTTCTAAATACTATAAACAGGAGGCTGTGGGGTTTTCTGGAGGTATTTGGGTGCTTTGGGATGAGAGAGATGTTAAGGTAGATGTTATTCACTCTCACCATCAATTTTTTCACTCTAGAGTTCTTTATTTGGAGGATAATAGAGAGGAATTAGTCACTTTTGTGTATGGTAGCCCGAGAAGAGGTGAGAGAGAGATCATATGGGAGAATTTGGTTCGCTTCTCAGGCTCTGTGAGTCTCCCCTGGATTGTTCTTGGGGATTTTAATTCGGTTTTGAAGCAGTGTGAGAAAGTGGGAGGTATGGAGGTATGTTGGAGGAATATTCTTGAGATGCAGGACTGTCTTGATGAATGTGGTCTTTCAGACATTGGGTTCAAGGGCCCTAGTTTCACTTGGAAGAGGGGAAACTTGAAAGAAAGACTTGATAGGGCTTGTGCCAATGAGGAATGGAATTTGGCTTGGCCTGACAGGTTTCTTGGGCATCTTCCTTTTTTCTATTCGGATCATAGGCCAATATTGGTTAGTAATTATAGAAGCAGCCGTGAGTTGAATGGTGTGAAGCAATTCAAGTTCCTTGCTGCTTGGTTGACTAACCCAAATTTTGGAGATATTGTTAAAAAGTGTTGGGAGAAGAATGAAGCCTGGTCTGATGCTAGGAAAGAATTTGAGGTTGAAGCTTCTAACTGGCATCATCAGGTGTTTAGAGAGGAGTTGAGGCAAAAGCATAGACTATATGCTAGGATCCAGGGCATTGATATGGACTGGATTCAAGTTATAACAGGGATCTAGTAAGGTTGCAAGGTGATCTGTGGAAGGAGTTGGAGCTGATCTTGTTGAGAGAGGAGTTGTCTTGGTTCCAGAGGTCTAGAATTTCTTGGTTGAAGTTTGGGGATAAGAACACAAAGTTCTTTCATTCAACTACCATTGCTAGAAGGAGAAGAAACAAGGTGATGGCCATAAGGAATGAGATGGGAGAGTGGACTGCAGATTCCAATGATTTAGTGAATACGGCTGTAAATTACTTTGAAAAGTTGTTTCTGGGGGAGGAGGGGGATTTTGAGGAATATCTCATCAAGGATGCTTTCCCTAAGATGGAGGCTGGTGAGTTAGCTAAGCTAGCCAGTATTCCTGATGATCTGGAGATTAAGAGAGCTGTTTTTAAAATGGGTAGATTTAAAGCACCAGGACCAGATGGGTTGAATGCTGCTTTTTACCAATCTCAATGGCATGTTATTGGAAAATGCCTATGATAGGCTAAGTTGGGAGTTTATCCATGATACTTTAACTGAGTTGAATCTGCCTAGCAGCTTTATTTCTGTCATTGATAAGTGTGTTGGCACTAGTGAGCTGAATGTGCTTTGAAATGGCAATCCTACAAAATTCTTTAAACCCTCCAGAGGTATAAGGCAAGGAGATCCAATATCCCCCCACCTCTTTGTTCTATGTATTGAAAGACTGGCCCATTTGATCCAAGTAGCTAATAAGGTTAAGGCTTGGAAGCCTATCAAGCTCAGGAAAAATGGCCCTCCAATTTCTCACTTGTTCTTTGCTGATGATATTCTTCTGTGCTTGGAGGCTTCTGTGGAGCAGGCTTTTGTGGTGAACCAAGTCCTTAGGGTGTTTGCTTCCAGCTCTGGTCAGAATATCAGTCTGGATAAGACCAGGTATTCTTCTCCAAGAATGTGAGCCTCAGCAGATCTAAGGAGATAAGTGAGTGCTTAGGCATAAGAAGCACACTTAATCTGGGGAAATACCTGGGAGTTTATTTAAACCATGCTAGAGTCACTAAAGCTTCATTTAGTCATGTCTTGGATAGGGTCAAGAGTAGGATGAGCTCTTGGAATGCCAAATCCCTATCTCTAGCTGGCAGATTGACATTGGTCAAGTCAGTGATTGCTGCAATGCCTAATCATGCAATGCAAACAGCTTGGATCCCCAAATCTGTGTGTGAAATTATTGAAAAGCAGTCTCGTGGATTTATTTGGGGCTCTTCTGAAAATAAGATAGGTGTACATTTGGTTAATTGGGATACTATGTGTACTAGGAAGCTGTCTGGGGGTGCTGGTTTGAGGAATATTAAAGCTTTTAATCAAGATTTTGTCATGAAGGTGGGCTTTGGTTTACTAACAAAGAAGGAGACATTGTGGGCTAGAGTTCTCAGAAATAAATATAAAGTTGAAGAAGGTCTGGTCCCCAGAGTAACAAGATCAGTGGGCCATAGTAACATGTGGAGGGGTCTATGTGCTTCTTGGGAGCACATTTTGGAAGGATCTAGCATAGTCATGGGGTATGGGAGGTTAGTTAAGTTCTGGTGGGATTGTTGGATCCCTGGAGTTGGAAGACTTATTGATAAAGCTACTGCTATTGTGCCTGCTGATGCTCAATCCTGGAAGGTTGCGCAATGTGTGACCCAGAATGGTGCTTGGGACTGGGATAAGATTGAAAGATACCTGTCTGCAGATGTTTGCAAGGTTATTGTTGATGTTGAGGTCCCTAAGATGGAGGCTGGGATTGATAAAGTCATCTGGAGGCCTTCTAGCACTGGCCTTTTTTCAGTCAAGTCTGCCTATCAGTTTATTAGAAATAAAGAAGTCCAGATGCCTAGTCAAAATAATCTGTGGAAGTGTGCTTGGATGTGACAGGGACCAGAAAGGATAAAGCATTTCTTATGGCTTCTTCTAAGGAATAGCCTCTTGACTAATGACCAAAGGAGTAGAAGACACATGGATGGAGAGGCTAACTGTCCTAGATGCTTTCATAGCTGTGAAGACTGTAGTCATGTAATGAGGGAGTGTCCTTGGGCTAAGCAGGTTTGGATGATATTAAATCCTGAGTTCAAGAGGAGCTTCTTCTTTGGTAGTAGTTTCTCAGAGTGGCTTAGCTGTAACTTGAAGTGCAAAGAGGGCAAGGGGCTGGTGCAAAGCTGGAGTCTTCTGTTTGGAACAACTTGCTGGATGATTTGGCAAGCTAGGAATAATCTAGTCTTCAGGAATGAAGTGTGTTCCCCTGTTAGCTTTTGTTATAAGGTCAGTGCTTATGTTAATGGTATTTCACATGCTGAGAAATCCATTGGAGTATTTGATGATAGCCTAAGAAATTTAAAGGATGATTCTGGGAGCTGGCAGCCTCCTCTTGAGGGCTGGATTAAAATCAACTCAGATGGAGCTTGCTCTCTAGATGGTCTTCGAAGTGGTTGTGGGGGGGTGCTGCGCAGTAGTAATGGGAGATGGTTACTTGGATATACGCAGAAGGTAGGCCACGGTAACGCTTTGAAGGCTGAGTTATGGGGTGCTCTCATGGGTTTTCATGTGGCTTGGGAGCATGGGTTTAGACAAGTCCATTGGGAAGGAGATTCTCTTGATGCCTTGCATTTAATTGAAGCCATATCAAGAGATCTGGTAATGCAGTAGCTGACCATTTGGCTGGTTTGGTGGACTATGGTTCCTGGAAGCTTTCTGTTCTACCTAATGCTCCTGTGAGCTGTAGTAGGCTGTTAGAATGGGATCTAAGGGGTGCTGTTTTCCCCCAGTATGATCCTTAGTTAGCTTTTGTTGTTGTTTTTCTTTCCCTAATATCCAAAAAAAAAAAAAAAAAAACTTGCTCTATTTGCTTGCATTTCCTTTTTTTAGTTTAAAAATTAGCTAATTGATTAAATCATTACCAATTTTTGTTGTTAAAAGACAAAAGCTTCTTAGAAGAATTATAATCTGAAAAGTCTTAATTTGTCAACTCCCTCTTGTTGCATTGGTGCCTCCAAAAGAGACCTCGCTCCCCCAATGTTTGAATATGAGTTTCGCAACTCTACTTGGCTTAAATCAATGTTTAACACATTTTATGAAGTGGTGTTTCCTTCTTCAGTCTATCCATTTATACAATCACCCAGAAAGACACTAACAAAGGCCAATACAATAAATAGTAATACCATAATATGTGTTAGCAAATGCAATAGTACTAATATGCACTCTCTATTCATGACCACTGAATTATTATAAGAAGTTGAACACAACTGAGATAGTAAAACCAATCTCGCAACATTGAGTTTGACATTAAACCATATTAAAATGCTAGCCATAGTATTAAAGAAAATATTTTTACTAACCCCCATTCTTTCATCATGAGACCTGGGCGGGCCTTAAATGTGATACGCGCTCCTGTTTTCACAAAATGGCAATGCTCTTGATAGATATAGATTAACCAAAGATATTTTGATCCAGGAATGTTTTCCAACTTTTTATGTCTAAAATACCTTTCATGCCCACTTTTCTCTTCACACTGTCTATAGTAGCTTGTGACCTTTACTGATTATCGGTATTTGTGAGATAAACATGAAATTTGTAGGATATGTCCCCTTGATATGTTTCGGTACTTGGATATCGAAGACACTGGCCAATGCAAGTAATACATTAGATAAACTATCATAGTCAAGGGAATAAATAATTGATTTAGTAATAAAAAAACTAGACAATCAATTATAGACATTCTACAAAGGGGGGATGCATATTCATGTTATATGTGTTATTAATCTTGGAGTTCACGGGCTTTTAGTGGAGTAGCACCAAATCAGATAATTATTCGTTGAATATCGAGAGCCTTGATTAATAACAGATGGTAGATCCAGGGTAGCTTGACTCAAAGGATGAGGTGATTTCCAGTTAATTATGACTTATGGGTTACATGGTCTTGGGTTTTGAACTCAATTTTGTATCTGAAAGAGCAAATGTGAGATTATTAAGTTTGTGTTCTTTTAATAAAGCCCAATAGGGCTTAGTGTGTAAGAAGAGCCCAAGAAACCTAGAGTCATTCAGCGTAGGGTTAGAGTTTCTTGGAACCCATATATATTCTACACTTATATTCATTATTCTTGGAGGTCTTCACTTGGATGTTACAGAGGATGAGGTAAGGTCATCTTCCTGAAAGTGAAAGAACGCCCACACATTTCCCCTTTCCTCTTGAGACATAGTATGAAAGATCTACCACTGTCCAGCCTCAAGGAATTTGTTTGTGCTGCGCCACTGAGATGAGCAGTTCATAAAGAGAAATCGTACATGGGAGATTCTGTACGAGATCTGCGTATTAAGAGGTAAGTCAGTAAAACGATGATGATTCATTTGCATCCCAAACCGCAATGGTCTAAAATGCTTTCGCAAATCTAATTGCTCTCACACTAAGTACAAAACACGCTGAAAAGTCTCATTTTGATTTGTGAGAACAATCATTGATCTTGCAAGTAACCAGACTTTACAGAGTGATTAGACAAAAGAACCTTCAATCATTGGGAGTTTGGGATAACTAGCCAATCTACTATGTAATTTCCTATTGTACTTCTTCGAATGTGCAGGCAGTGGCAGAATTGAACAATAATTAAATTCCTGGAGATACGTCAATTCTAGGAAAAACTTGGTCAACCAAATTTGAATGCACTATAAAAATAATAATAATAATAAAAAAGTATTGAGACATAATTGATTATAGTAAAAAGGACAAATCTCAATGTACAAGTTTGTTTTCTATACTCGAATCTCTGACCTTCCTAAGGAGCATCCTTATAACTGCTCCAAGACTTGCCCTCATAATTGATTATAGTAATTAATCATTAATTAACAATTATAATTAATTATTAATTAACAATGTGTCACCGCTTTAGAAAGATAATTACCTCTGGGCTCAGGAAGATGATATATGCTTTCACTGTGGTTGGCCTATCTAAAGGCCCAGATGAGAAAGATTATATTCTTTTGCCTTGGCTTCAAGATTCTCGACTTCCTCTTCCTCATTAACCAACCAATTGTAGGGAAGTTGGATTTTTGGCTCAGAGCTGTTGTTATTTTCTTTTACATAATCAAAGCGAAGACCACCTGCTTCTGCTTCTGCTTTCTCTTTTTGTCCTTCATATGCCCATTTTAATGCCGAGATATCTTTCTTGAATAACATGCGTAATCCCCATTCCTTCACCAACAAACCTGGGCGAGATTTAAATGTGATACGGGATTCTGTTCTCAAAAAATGGCAGTGCTCCCAAGAGATATAGATTGTCCAAAGATGTGTTGAGCCATCAATCTTGTCCAGTTCCAAATTAAATGGCATATCGAAGCGTTCTTCTGTGTATTCACTTTCAAAAGAAAGATATAAAGGATGTGGCAATGGCAAGGAGGACGAAAGTGGAGAACCAGAATTCGCAGGATGATTGTTTACCTCAAACGCTGCGCAAAAGGCAAAACCAATCCAGTTGTGAACCACATCATAGTGTACTATTCTTATCACTGAACCTCCATTGAATCGATGACAGAACCACCATGGAAGAATACGATTCGTTGCAGAATAAAAAAATTTCCACTCCCAAGGAATAATGATGTCAAAGCCACACCGAAAATGACGGCGTTCCTGTACAAGAAGAACAAAAAACAAATCTATATCAGAGCTTGTGAGAGACAGTGCAAGGAAAAGAAAGGCATACAGATCGTGCAACCTCAACTAATATTATATAATAGTTACAAAAAGTACTAAGCAGCTTGCCACCAATCGACTCTGGGCAGTTAAAAATATATCGGAAAAGTGTTTATTCTTTTAAATGACATAATTTATATTTTTTCACTCCTTACAGAGAGGTGGGACCTACACTTTTATTTTTTTTGTCAATTCTCTCTCGTCTTTTATCCATCTTTTTTCTCTCTCTTAAAATAACACAACTTTATATCATTTAAAATGGCACACACATTACCCAAAATATATAGGGAAAATTCATGGTTTACTCTTTTATCAAGTACGCTTATATTTTTTTTCTTAAAAATTATCTTTATGTCTTTAACACAACTTAACTAATTTGTCCATTTTACTCTTAACCTATTCCATTTTTCAGCCCTGAATATACAACAGACCGGTCACCAAACCAGCTTAATACGCGGAATCATAGAAAGAGGATATTAACTGACCACACTTTCAGCACCGTTAAACCAAGCACACAGGTCAGAAATTTGTGTACTGCGTTTTTTATTTATTTATTTAAACTATTTGTTTAGTTTTGGTTTTTTCTTGGTGGGTAGTCGATTCTTGATGATGGGTTGTTAATTTTTTTTTTCTTTTTCTTTTTGTGGCTTATGGGTTTTCTTTATCATTTTGGACCTAGAAATTTTCTTTTTTTGGGTTTCTTTTACTTGCAGTATTGGTTTAACTATTTAATATCCTTAAAAACTTAAAAATCAACTAACAAGGTCAAATTGTGTGATTGATTTTCACATTAATTCAAAGAATTAAAATATCAAATTTTAAAAAGCAAGTAAAAAAAATTAATTACTAAGATCTATAAAATTTGAACACATACACAGGGAGAGAGAGAGAATGGGTAAGTAAAGGAGTATATACAAGTAAAATAAAGATAAAATGGACAAGTAAATTAAAGGTGGGTTTGGACGGAAAAAAAAAAAACATAGAGATGTAAATGATAAAAGAGTAAACCATAAGGAGATTTATGAACTTTTCCCAAATATATATTATTACTAATTCAGGGTACCATTTTTAAATATGTTCTCGATGATGAAGCACTATCTAAAGGGAGATTAAGAAAATATTTAAGGTCATGGCAATGTAACAATTTAAGAATGTTGGATTGTAAATCCTCCTCATGGTACAAGCATGTCGGAGGAAAAAAAAATACCTACAATAATAAGAGCAAGAGAACATGTGATTGACTGGTAAATTGAGAGGGAAGGTATGCAGAGTACGCACCTTAAGTAGTCTTGTTAGCCATTGAACAATGGAAATTGGGAATATATTTTTTAGCTTGGGGCAGTCAAAAATATATAATCCTGACCTATGATCACGAGACCCAGATGTAGTTTTAAAATACCTTCCCACTGATGAATCACTTTTTGATGGGAGATTACACATATGTTTAAGCTGATGGCACCGCGCTAAGTTTAGATATGCTAGACTATAAAGCTTGGTGGTGGTAGAAGGTAGTGAAACAAAGTTGTTTCCTTCAAGATTTAGTCTTTCCAAATACCTTAACTCTCCAATAGCATCAGGTACTTTACTTAAATTGCAATAGCCTACGTCCATATGAATCAAAGATTGAAATTCTAGGGGAAAATTGACATTCCATAGGAAGGGCCGCAGTGTCGTAAGTTTAATGCAGCCACATAAATCTAGAGTTATAAGAGAGATCATGGTGTTAACAGAATTAGGTACACTGACAAGACTTGTGCAATCTCTCAAACTCAAGAATCTAAGTTTTTCAAGAGCCCCAATAGATGTATGAACCGTTGACAAACTTGTACATCGATTCATATCAAGGTACTCGAGATTTGATACCCCAGTAAAATCTGGTGTCTTTTCAAGATTTGTGCAACCAGATAGGTGTAGAACTCTCAGAGAACTTGAATTAGATAAACTATCAGAATCGAACTCAAGCTCGACCAGATTGATGCAATTTTGCAAACTCAAGAAAGCAAGTTTTGTCAGACGTCCAATAGATGGATGGATGTGCCTTAACTTCGTACATCCTGTAAAATCTAGCCGCTCAAGTTTTGGGATCCCTTCAAACATTGGAGTTTCCATAAGATATTTGGAGTTGCTCAAATCCATCCTTTTCAAATGGGGAAGATCCTATGAACAGAGTATAAGTAAATAGCATGAACATGTTGTAGTCAAACTTCAATTTCATTAATTTACTTCGATATGCCTTCGAGAATAGAGTAAAATTTTTTTTTTTTAAAAAAAATCAATTATGTAAGTTCACTCGCATTCAAATGGAAAATAATGTTAAAGAAAAGTAGTTTGATTTTGGTTCATTATATACAATTTTTTTATAAAAAAAAAACAAAATCTAACCCAATGTCATTAAAATAGATCAAGTACGATAGCAACTATCTTAAAAGTCGGACTTTTTTAATGATTCATAAGCACATAATTAAATAGGAAAATCAATTTGTCATGTTGTAAGAATGACATTGTTTCTTCCTGCAACAAGGATCCAGTTCTGTATCATGAGGATACGGTTTGTATCGTGACCTTTTTTTTAAGTGTGGGACCCACACTTGATTTGTGTGTGTTTATAAAATGCTCTTGTCATGTGACATGACTAAAAGCGAACCCAATCAAATAACAACGAAAACAAACGGTTAGGTTAAATGTTTATCAAAATTATACAAAAGAAAACTTTTTTCATATTTCTAAATATTGATCTACTATAATTTAAAAGTAAGAAAAAAAAATTATTTTGAAAAGAAATTCAAATCACACATTTCTCATTTTTAAAGATCTCTTTTAAATATTTTATACATGGGGAAGGATATTGTGACAATCAAGTTGTGTTACTACCAAGTGACTACCAATCAATCTCACCGTTAGATCGATTATGTTGATCCAACGGTTATATTTATTTCCATCTTTATATGGTCATGATTCCCCATATTTAAAGTGAAAGCATTAAATATGGGAAATCATAACCATACAAAGGTAAAAATAAATATAAAGTATTAAATTTAGGAAATCATGACCATATAAAGATGGAAATAAATATAACCGTTGGATCAACATAATCGATCTAACGGTGAGATTGATTGGTAGTCACTTGGTAGTAACACAACTTGGTTGTCACAATATTTTTCCCATTTATACATAACAAAAATCTTATATATATTTTTATTCCAAAAATTATTGTGGCATAATATAATAAAAAATTTGTGATTACAACTGTATAATGTGTGCTACTTGTTTCAAGAAAGAATTAAGAATGCAATTTATTTTGAATTTAACAAAAAATTTGATCACTCGTACATTTTTTTTATATATATTAAGGAGATTCTTTTAAGCCTTTTAAACATGAAATGGAATATTCATACTATCAATTTTTTTTAACTACCATTTCTCTACTACTACTCTAATCACCATTGAATTAGAAAAAAAGTTGAATAAAAAAAAAGAAAAGAAAAATAACTTTTGAAGCCAACGATGATTAGTGTGGTACTAGAGTGATAGGAGAAAAAATTTAGTGTATGAATATTCTACCTCTTTAAACATATGCAGATTTTCAGTAATTATATACACTTTGAATTTTTATGATATTATAGAATAAAAAAATCAAACTGTGGTGCCACTTACGAAAAATAATTGAGGTGATTATTCTTCCCATTATTTCTTTAAATCAATAAAAAAATTTAAAAAATCATTAAAGTACCTTGTGGCCTTTCCACAGGTGTTGTATGCTGCTGTTAGGCACATTCAGTTCAACAAGATGATACGGCTCAAATTCTGATGGCAAAGATGTGAAAGGATAACTAGGCCACAAAAGATATCTTAGGTTGTTAGACAGAAAATCGAGACTTGCTGAAAAATTCTTATGATATAATATAAGCAGTCTAAGGCTTGTCATCTGCGACAATCCTTGACCAATCCACCCAGGGCATTCAGGGACATCCTCTTTTGGATCTAGTACAATGGCTTTAACCTTATCAGTTCCCTAAAAAAAGGAGAATAAACATAAGAAATAAAATAAAATTACTTGAATCAACTTAACTACATTTTCTGGTTAGAAACAAAAAGTTGTCTATATATCTTTGTTTAATAATAAAAAAAGTAAAACTTACTAATGAAAGAAGGAAGATTATGAAATTTAATTTTGGAAAAATAATTTATTACCGTTTTTGTCCTTAAGACATGATGGAAATCCCGATGAAGCCACAATCTACTCCAGGATCCTGGTTCTTCGGAAAAATGTTGCCTAACTATTTGCTTCCCCAACTCTCGCAACATTTCATGCATATGAATTTCCTCATTTTTAGTGGTTATGAGTGATTTTTCAGTGATAAGGGGGATACCAATTTCAGGGTTTAATCCACAACAATCTAGAATTCGCTTTACATAATCCTCCCTCTCCCCTTTAAAGAAACAAGCAATGTGCAGAAATATTTCTCTCTCTCTTTGCTCCAATCCCTCAAAACCTATCTCAAGCACTTTTATGATTTTTTTGTTTGGATTATTCCACAGCCCATCCAAGGTAGCTCTCCATTGGGTGGCATTTCGGGTACATAAAAAAGAACCCACAACTCTAATTGCTAATGGAAGACCTTGAGCATATTCTAGTATCTCAGGGATAAGCTCTGCAAAATTGCTACTAGAATCTTCCCTTTTGAAGGCTTTTCTACATAAAAGTTGACGAGCATCATTATCATTCATGAGTAGAGCCTCATAAACTATATCCGCTCCATACACTCTAAGAATATGCTCATCTCTAGTGGTTATGATTATTCTACTTCCTGAGCAAAGCAATGTAGGATTTATTGCTAATTCCTGCAGTTGCTCTAATTCATCAACATTGTCAAGAACTATAAGGACCTTTATGTTGTGTAGCCTATTCCTTACAATTCCAGATATTTGAGATGGACTATACTTCTCGAGATTTTTTTCATCTAGAGTTTGACAAAGAATTTGTCTCTGTACAGCAATAGCACCACCATCTTTATAAGTTTGGCTTAGGTCATCAATAAAACAGCTAGTCGGAAATTGATAAGAGATTTTGTCAAACAAGACGGTAGCAAGAGTTGTCTTTCCTATTCCATCCATCCCCCAAATTCCCAAAACTCGAAAATCATCATCCCATAAACTTAATTTTAAAAGACTTTCCAATTCAGCAACACGAGGTTGTATCCCAATAAGATTATCAGCAAACCCTGAGAATTTATGACCCAAAGTTTTTATTACAGCCTGAACAATATTTTCAATCTCTCCAAACTCTGGCCTGAAAGAGAGAGGAAAAAAATAAGATCTAGAAATTATCATCCAAAAATCAAGGGAGAAAAACAAGCAGAATTTCTTGTGAGGAATTAACATAGAACTTTCCTTGATAACCACAAACTCAAGTTATTAATGCAAAAACAACAAGGAGAATGACCTTAAAAAACTTACTTATTCCCGACATCCCAACCAACTAAACCGCCCAAAGCCTTCATAGCTTCCTGCCATCGATTAACCTTGGATAGATCTTGTTTGAATTTTTCATAGTGTAAATCAAAGGCATCCCCATAAACCCCATGCTGATGTCGTACATCAGATGGATCCACACGATAGAAAATTGGGAAAACAGTTTGTTTCAAATTTATACGGCATTCATTTATAGAAGCCATTTCATCCAAACACCATTTTGAAGAAGCATAATCAGGGGAGAAGACAACGATAAAAACCCGTGAATCATGAATTGCTTGTAAAAGCTGTGATGAAATGGGTTCTCCTTCCTCGAGCCGTTTGTCATCCTTGAAGGCGAAAAGACCTTTCCTGGAGAGATGAGCCAAAAGATGATCAACAAAAGAGTAGCGAGTATCAGTGCCTCTGAAACTGATAAACACATCGTATTTACAGATCCGCCGAGATGACGTGCTGCTTTGGATGTTACTCGAATCCATGGAAGAACTGGAAGCTGTAGCTGTGCAGATCCGCTTTGGATTACGGGATGATGGGCTGCTATTGGAATCCATGGCCCAAAAAAGTCGCAGGAAAAAGGAACTCCGAGGGAGTAAAGTAGTATCTTTGATATGAAAACGAATCTTATTAACCTTGAAAACTCACCGCAAAGCCACTTGAAGAACGGTTCTCACTGTTCGGAGAGAATGAACGGAAGCTCACTTGGTATTTTGGTAAATATAAGAGAAGAGAGTTGAAATCAAGACTCATGAGAATTGAATCTGATGAGAGAAGCGTATTCAATGGGTCCCACAGGGGAAGTCGTCGATGTGGGTTCCACATCCAACACTCTGCATCTTCCCATTTGCTTTCTGGGCCTCTCAAGGCGTCCTTTGTCCACTTGCTTAATAATCCAACATAATAAATTTTTTTTTTTTTTTTTTGGTAAACAAGCCAACATAGTAAGTTTTCAAAATAATGATTCGATGTTATTCATCATTTATACCATAAGGAAATGTTATTTTAAACTTTAATCTCACGGGATTTTATTTTGAAAAGTGTGAATATGGATTGGAAATAATGGACAAGTGTGAATAATAAATAGAATGAAAGTTTATAACAAGACTATTTTACTATTTTATTAGGGTTTTTTTTTTTTTTTTTTGATAACATTTTATTAGGGGTTTTAGTTTGTCATTTAACATGACAACAAAAAATTTCCTACACACACAACACACAACATTTTGTGGGATCCGCACTTTTTAAAGTAACAAAAAAAAACTAAGACACGCAAAACGAATCTCTATAACATTACACAATCACTTTCCTACAACATAATTCTTATAAAACTCATTTTATTAAGGATGTTCGATGCAGATGGACCCTGGTTGATATTGAATTTGCAGGGATGTGATTAATTACGAAGATGATGATATAGGTGGCCAACTTTTTATGCGACGTAGAGTGATGATGTGTTGTACGCTATGAAGCACCGACTCCGACACGGCGTTTTTGATACGCTCCTGATACGTTCTCAATACGACCGTTAATTCGTCGATACAATACAATACGTTTCTGATATGTTTCCCATACATGTATTGGATACGTTGAAAAAAAATTCGGAGTATCAGTGCTTCATAAGTTGTACGTGTATATGAAGAGTTGAGGTTTTTAGATTACCTCAGTTTTTGATTTGAAGTGAAAGTTTACTCTTTGGGCTTAGGCCTTTCATGGACAAAGAATGCTCTGGAATCCTTTTAAGGCCTTAATTTGCATATCCCGATCGGATTTGGGCCGGATGCGAATCCAGCCTAGAACAAAGGATATTTTCGATAATTATTATTAATAAATAGTTGTTATAAAGCACACAAAAAGACAAATAAAAATGGTAATAACTATCCGTAAGGAAAACTCTATTAAGTTTACTGCAACAGTATAAAATCCCTGCGTTAAAATCAGGTTTGGCGACATTATTATTGGGATGATCTAAGCCCAGTTTCAACCTTTGGTATTGCTATTGATGATGATTATTTATTTTTTTTGTATAATTGATGATGATTATTAATAAATTGTAAATAATTATAAGCACACTAAAAGACAAATTAAAATGTCAATAACTGTATACCGAAAAAAATAATGTCAATAACTACTTGTTTACAAAAAAAAAATGTTAATGACTTTACCTGTAAGGAACTCCCTTTTAAGCTTACTAAACTAAAAATATAAAATCCATGCGTTAAAATAAGGTTGTCGTAGCATCCGTATTGCTATGCTATGATCTAAGGTGCTCTTTCGTTCAACATTTCTTAAAATTTATCTATGCAAATCAAATTGGCAAAGTAAGAAAGTAATATTTGGTAGACAATTTTACAAAATTTTCCTAGATATTATATTTGCATAGCATTCCTTATTTGTTTGTAGAAAGCAAGCAAAAGTTACTATTTGTAAAGACAACTTGCGGGTGGTATTTTACATTTAGCCGGCTAAATGGCAAAAGAGCAACCCACTACCAGACCTAAATACTCTCATTTAAAGCACCAAGGTTTCACTTTCTTTACGGGGTTATATTTGTAATTTTATATCATTTACCCATCAATATTTTATTTTCAACCAAACATAGGTTTCAAAAACTTTAATCAATTTGCCTGGTAATATTTGACCCAACCAAACAATTTTTTTTTAACTTTCCTATCTAATTCACTTTATCTGTAGATCCCTGGTAATTACATTTTCCTAGTGAACTAAAATTTTCACCTGAACCAAACACCCCCTAAGGTGTTTGATAAAAGATTTTGTTAAGGATAGTTAGGTAAATAGAAGTGGTATTTTTGGATGTCCATGTTTGGTATCATGTTTTAAAAAATTTTGCTAGGGAACTCATTTGCCTAGTATTTACTTTTTGTGTGTAAAAAACACTATTGAATAATATCTCCTACAAGGTGGTATTTGTTGATAGATAGGGAAATCCAAAAGGGATTGCAAGCAAGGAGACCAAAATGACCCTGATGTTTGGGAAAACTACAGCAAACTAAAATCATATTTTCCCATTTTATTTTAGTCAAGGGTTGTTATGGTAATTTAACCATATTTTTCCACCTATATTTTACCTTCAACCAAACATAGACTTAGGAAATTCTACCCAATTTATCCGTTAAAATTTTGGTCAACCAAACAACTTTTTTTAATTTGCCTACCAAACTTCATTTCCCACCATATCCCTAGTAATTACATTTCCCTAGTAAAAAAAAATTTCTCCTCTACCAAACACCCCCTAAGGGTGTGCTTGGTAGGAGATTTCTTGAAACATAGCTAGGCATCTGAGATTGGGATTGTGTATTGTCCATGTTTGATACAGGATATCAAAAAAATTTACTAGCTAACCGATTTGCCCAACCATTGAAGATTGTATGCAAAATTGGACGAAATGGACTGTGCTCAAACCCCACTTCCAATGAGGAATTTCACGATAATCCAGGTAAATGAAATTTTTTTGACATGATAGCTGCCAAAACTATTCTCTTTAAATCCTTCTGAATGTTAGTTAACTGGTTCGACATACTAAGATCTACGTCTTCTCTTGGCTTCAGGGAGAACTTTATGGCACTCGCCTTTCCAAGCTTCACAGAAAACTTGCAATTTGCCGGTGGTGACAACCTTGTTTGTCTATATATCCTAGAAGATGAACTGGGGGAGGGAGACTTTGCTCTTCCAGTTTTGTTCTTGTCACCTTTTATGGACCTATTTTTTATTGGAGACTTGCCTCTCTTTTTTGGCAAATGGAGCTGTGCATCCTCCCGTCATTTGTCATGCTTAAGAAGCCTAACACAAAAAGGATTTATTGTTGTGTAGCAAATAGACCCCCATAAATTCCATTCCTTTCTAGATCTACTTCTCCGTTGTTCACCTAGAAATTGGTAGAACTCGCGTGACAGATTGAAATAATGATTTGGGGATCATCTAGTTAATAGGACTCTACCACGGGAAGTAAAAAGAGATTATTTTGTAATTTCAACCTGGTTTCCCATCAATATTTATCTTCAACCGAACATAGATTCAGGATATTTCTCCTAATTTTTTCGGTAATATTTTGTCCAACCAAACAACTTTTTTTTAACTTTTCTATCTAACTCACTTTCCCTGCAGATCCCTGATAATTATATTTTCCTGGTAAAAAAAAATCCACCTGTACCAAACGCCCCCTAAAGCGAAACAGTGACTATTTTGCCACTGTTCATCATATTAATTACCATAATGCCACGCGCACAGTAAAAAATTCCCATAATGCCACGCGGGCTAATTCGCTACACAGTGTAGCGAATTATGCCTGCTGATGTGTCACCTCCCCAATGGCCACGTAATTCGCTACACAGTGTAACGAAATACGTGGACAAATGGTCAGACCGCACAGTCAACATGATGACCACGAGTCAAGCCACCAATGTTTCGCTACACTGTGTAGCGAAATATGTGCCAATGGTAACTTGCTCCACTGCGCATGTCAGACACGTGTCAACCATGCACAAATTCGCTATACAGAGTAGCAAATTATGTGCATCTGTTTTTCTATTTAAACCCCACGGTCCCCACTCCTCCCCCCACCATTTCCTCTCAATCTCTACCTCACTCCCTCTCTCTCTAAGTGCTTTCTCACTCTACAAGGTTAGCTTTTTTTTTTTTGCTTTTATAATATATTTGATTTATTAATTATGCTTTTATAAATGTGTTATATTCTTTTATATTGATACTTGAAACATTAGGTTAGTAAATATGTTATATTATTTAATGTTAATACTTGAAACTTTAGGTTAGTAAATGTGTTATATTATTTAATGTTGATATTTGAAACCTTAGGTTAGTAAATGATATAATTTTATTTCATGCATAAAAATGGTTAGGAATAATTTATTTAATTTATTATTTATGCTTTAATACATTTTTAATGTTATTTAATTTTGGTTTTTGAAACCTTAGGCTAGTAAAATGTGTTAATTAATTTCACGCTTGAATGCTTAGGTCTAATTTTTTTATTTTTTTATTTATGCTCTAATATTTTTTGAATATTATTTAATGTTGGTATTTGAAACGTTAGGTTAATAAATGTGTTAATTTATTTTACACTTGAATGAATGGTTATGTCTAATGTTGTCAAATTCGAGTTTCTACATAGAAACGGAAAGGGTCGGTAGAAACGTAAAACGTAGAAACGACATGAAACATAAAGTTTCTACTTTCTACCACTTAAGGTCAAGATATAAAATTATATATATATACAAGTAAAAAAATATCACATAATGAACATATGTGTTGAGCCACTTATCTATCTAAAAAGAAAAATTATTTTTCATAACCAAGTATCAAAATTATAAACAGTGATAATTAACAAGTAATGAATAACCAATCTGCTATAACTGTCTTTATACATTCTACAGATTTTGGATCATCGCTCATCAGAATATAATTCCACTTCTTTCAATGCACACAATGATCCAAAAATACAAAACGATTCTTATAGCATAACTTATAATAGAATTGTAGCTTTATAAAACATAATTATAAAAAAACATATATCCAAACAAAAGATATTAAGATACTGCGAATATGATTTGAGGAAAATAAAAATTAGGTTTTTTTTAATTTTTTTTTTGTAAATATTTTTTTTTATTAAATTTTTAGTTTTAAGTAAAAACGGT